TGAAAACACATGGTACGCTCAAACACATTGAGGTGGTATTAGACTATCAGCCCCCCCAGCTGTCGATGTGTCGTGGTTCCCCCGCCCAAAACTGCACGGGGTTAGAGTACGGGACCGTGGGAAAGTCGTAATTCCTTGCTACGCCGCCCGTTTTTGCAAACTCACGTTTTTACTGACACCGTTCGCGCGGTGCGGTTGCGTGCAGCTCTCTTGGCTCTTTGCCAAGTCCTGTAATTGCGCTTTGGAATACAAGTACAACGCAATTTCTCTATGCGGATAACATTTTAGGTGCTGTAAAATAAGAACCGAAGATGATGACGAGAACTAGAACTCAAGAGCAACTGTGCTGCTTCTGCAACAGCTCTCGCAGGCCGCATCAAAATAAAAACGGCTCAAGCGTCCCACTCGTTAGTTTGAAGTATTTACATAGCATTAGAGCCCGTCAAGCCTTATCGCAGAAATGCACACGCGATTTCAATTTATTGCGTTTCCTCAGTCTTTTCGATTTTGTATTATTTACATCTACATTCGTTGTCGTTCATTTCTAGCCCTTGTCATCTTCATCACCTTCTATTCTGACACTGAAGCATGAGCAATACCTCGAATGTTAGGAAATTGCGTTTTGCTTGTATTGTCATGTTTTATTGTCATGTTGTCCGTTTTTATTGTCATGTTCTGTGGGAATGCGCGGCCTCTGAGGGTTATTGCAGAAGCACCACCGTTGGTCTTGAGTTCTAGCCCTCGTCATCATCTTCTGTTCTCATTTTGCAGCACCTAAACTAAAATGTTATCCGCATAAAGAAATTGCGTTGTACTTGTATTCCAAAGTGCAATTATAGGACTTGGCAAAAGCCAAGAGAGCTGCACGCGACCGCGCCGCGCGGATGGTGTTAGCATAAACGTGAGGGCGGTGTAGCAAGGAATTACGACTTTCCCACGGCTCCGTACTCTGACCCCGTGCCGTTTTGGGCGGGGGGACCACGACACATCGACAGCTGGGAGGCTGATAGTCTCATACACCCTCAATGTTTTAAGCGTACCATGTGTCTTTAAAATCCTCGTCAGATATTGCTTTAGGTCGATCGCTATGAGATTCATCTTCAAGGCTGAAATCTCCAGAACGAAATTTGTTGAACCATTGCCGCACAGTGCTTTCTCTAGCACTATTTGGTCCCCACACCTGGTTGATTTGTTGAGCTGCTTCGATTGCGGATTGCCCCAATAGTCGGAGAAAAAAATCGTCCGAAGTGCTCTTTTCACATGCTTGAAAAAAATCTTGAAAAAAGGGGGTTTCATCAAGCAATGTTGAAACGGTAGTTATACCATGAGATAGCGCAAAGATTTCTCTTCAGGATAGTACTGCTGAGACGCAAGGGAGAAGTGAGTCTGTTAATCAGCAATGAATGTACAAAAACTAGTAACGAATGTACAAAAAATAGTACGCACAAAACGTGGCAGAACTTTCTGGACCAACCTAAATTTACCCCTGACTTCATCCTTTCGAGTTCATCAAAATGGTACTGAACCATCTGCTCTATCCCCTTGAGCATCTTTTCAATTTGTATTATTTTGAGGGCAGAGGTACCAGATCGTTGGAAGCACTCTTCAGTCATCACCGTTCCCAAAAAAGCCCCCTACAATTGTGGAATTTACCGCCATCAGTATTCACCTCCATTTTTGCTAGGGCTCTCGAGAAGATTTTGAAAGCGTCGGCTTATAGCTCTTCTTGATGAGCACAGCATCATTTCTGACTCTCAACATGGTATTCATAAGGGGACGATCAGTTGAGACTGCTCTTTCTAACTCTCCTCAATGATTCTTAAAGGGAGGCGTTCAGGCCGTGTGAGCTTTTTCAAAACGATTTGTTGCATGTTGTAAGGGGTCCATACAAGGACCAACACAAATGGGTTTCGTTTTTTGCTAAACGCTACTGGGAATGTCAAAAAAGGATAAAAAACAAATCGCTTAAAATACGCAAGTTTTATCATCTCATTCGCATCTGTTTCAGCTGTAAAGCAGAATACATAGAGTTTATAAAGTGTTCCTCAACTAGACATGAAAAACAATATAGAATAAGGTCGAAATTGCAGTGCTCTACTTTGCATACAAAGAGGTACACTGCAGTTTTCTTCACGGTTTATGCAGCATCCCTCGGCGCTCGCAGTGACCATTTAGCGCCACGCTGGCCCCAGACAACGTCGGGCCATAAATAAATTGTCAGAATCGTGATGAGGGCGACCCTGATTACCCTATTTAAGAGGTTCAGCGGAAAAAATTTTTTCGGGTTTTTTTTTGGTGGTCTGGGCTTGACCATTGGATGGTTGACCAGGCGAAACCCTCCTTGGGTATCTTCTCTGGCAGACGAACCGCGAGAATTTTTCATTTTTTTGCCCCTCAACTTCAGTAGGTCTTCATAGAACATCGTGCTAGCTTCGGAGCCACTAAAAGAACATCCTGGATCTTTCTTCACATTTACGCGTCTATGCTTTCGACATGAACTCGTTACCACTTGCCTGGAAAAAGTTTTTGTTTCTCAATATCAAAGGTATGAGAGGAGTGCAGTGTATGTGCGCATTTTTTTTTGTGTAGTTTTTAATTCTGCGTCTCTGCATACTAGCAAATGAAAAGCTTCCCCTTAAAGATGTTGGATAACGACTCTTGGGGGGGGGGCATAAGACTCCTTGGGGGGGGGCTGACAGCCATAGCTGGAGACATTGCGGCAACATAACACAAAAGCTCGGGAAATTTTCTCGGCGTAACTCTAAGACGTAGGGGTAATTGATGGTCCTGATCACGGTTCAGATAGTTATTTTGCTGTGGAGCCATCCACGCCATGCTGGCCAGGACCCGCCGCGCGGACTGCCAATAATGGTAGTACGAGAAAGCCTTTGCACCAAATTAGCGACACAATTTGCCATATTCAAAAATGAGTGTCGTGTTTATGAACAGAGCATCGGTAACGCCGTAACCCAGTTTCATGAGGAGTTTTTGCCGATAGTATTTCGTGAGCGCAATAATTGAGTGAGGCCTATTTATGAACCGTTCCCGGCATGGAATGTGCCTTCAAATGGCGTATATCCGGTCATACACATTATTGGGCATACAGGAATATAAGAACAAGAAATGTGAAAAATGCAAAAATGTGTCGGCAAGGGGATCCGATCCAGAAACCCTACAACGCAAGAGCCCGTCGCACTATCCACTCACAACCATCTGCCACCTCGACCACGGGGATGCAGGACCTGTTGAAGAGAAAAGCGCAGATGCCGGAAAACTCCTATGCAGCTCACCGCATGCCAAGTAGACCATTCGGATTTTGACCTTCATTTTGCGCTGTTTTTCATGACTGCTCAAGGCATACCCTACATACTATACCCTGTCAACGCTACAGCTAGAACAGAGGCGAATAAGGTGGTTTAAAAAGCCCATTCTTTCAAATTGTTTTTGACCTCTTTTTGACATTCCCAGAACGCGTTTAGGCAAAATGACCCCATCGTTAATGGTCCTCGCATGGACCTCTACAACATGCAACAAACCGTTTTGAAAAAGCTCACCACGGCCTGAACGACTCTCCTTGTTAGATCAGAAGAAGCCTACTCATGTAGTTTACTTTGACTTTGCTGAGGCTTTTGAGAGCGTGTTCCTATTCCACTTCTTATGAGTAAGTTGCGGTAAGTTGCCTACACCCGAGAGCTATAAACTGGATAAGTTGCTTCTTGCAAACCGTACGTACCAAGTCCGCGTTGGCGATACGTTTATCTAATATTTTTTCGGCTAGCAGTGGTGTTCCTCAAGGTAGCGTCTTATCACCAGTGTTGTCTTCTATATTTTACTTGTGAGCTACCTAGTTTAGTTTATGGTCACGGTTTCCTTGCTTGGTGTACTGCCGATGATGTCAAGATATACAAGGTGTTGAGAGCTCAGAGGATAGTTATTTCTTCCAAGCTGCTATCAACTGTGTGAACTCTTGGTCCATTAGGTGGGGCTGCCCCTATCCTATCATAAAACAAAGGTATTCTGCTTTGGAAAAAGCAGTGATGCTGTAAATATAAGATATAAACTAGGCTCACTGGAACTCCTAGACCACCAGTCAAGTGCGCGACCTCGGCTTTAAGCTTGATAATAAGCCTCCCTTTGATAGTCATTATTCGGATATTGTGTCTAGAGCAACACATAGAATCTTCAATCTGTTCAGGGCAGTCGATCAAAGGACTCAAAGACACTTATCAGGGCTTACAAAACATATGTCAGGCAGCTACTGGAATAGGCACAGCTGTCTTATCACCTTTCAGAAAAAGGATATATGCTTACTCGAGTATATCAAAATAGCTTCACACGGAAGCTTGCCCATGCGCTGCTCTGGTTTATACTACGAATTTATTCCTAAAGGGCATAAACGATATTCTGTGTCCACGCGAGAAATACGAATACCACCAGTAGCAGCAATTTATTTCACCTCAAACTTGGGTAATTAAACAATAATGATATATATACCTGAATTAATAAAGGCGATAGACATGAGAAGACTGAAACACACGGTCAGAAGAGGGCTGGGAAAAGCTGGAATATTCTGAATGAGCAAGGTCAAAGGGCGCATAGGAAATGATGGCGCATAGAGAGAGAGGCGCTGCGTCCCACGGGCATGGGGCGTCTGAGGCATCATCGTGAAAGACATCTGAGGCGCAACTGATGGTTTGTCGTATTTATATTGTTTATGAATTTTTAGATTTTGCTAACGATAAGCTCAATTCCCATCACCAAGAAGCAACAAGAGCTTTCTCCAGATCTGCGGATAAGCTCGCTTTCTCATTGCCGTCATATGACGTGAATTCCTTAGTTCCGATCGCATCGGAGCTGCGATACTCCCGGCCCCGGAATGACTTCGCTAATCAAGGTGGAAGGCGCAGTGTATTAGTGGGGTGAGGAAAGGTTCCCAACGTAGGTGTGCTTTTCAACGACTAGGTGAGGGCGCATGGTTTGACGGGAGGGGATAGCCTGACTTAAGAGTGATTCCTGAGAAGGGCCAATTCTTCTCGTAGGCGGCACAGTTTTGCAAAGCTTCTCCTCCTCGCTTCATGTGCATTCGCTTTCCGTGAGCGGATGCTTTCACTGTAGTCCGGCAATTCGCAGAGTGCGCTGTGGTGGCCTCGACTACGACAGTAGAAGCAGATAGTAAGGCTCTTTTTACAGGTGAGTCCTCGGGCGCAAATTACTTCGAGACATTGCTCGCATCTATTGTTGCTTTCAATAAGCTGTCTTCTGCTCGCTACGTCGCGGACCACCGTGCAGGAGTCTGAGTAATGATATCCGACTGCTTCGCAGAAAGCACATCTCATGAATCGTTCATGAGCTTTGTTAATGTATCCCTGATCGTATCGTCGCGGGGGGCACAGGCGCTCTTCTTCTAGTTGACGCAACATCCTATCGAAATCGAGAATAGCTTGTTCCGTGTTCCTGAGCTCTTGCTGAATTCGAGACACAATAATTTCTTCATCGTCCTCTTCCGGTAGATCATTGGGATCATCGTCCACTCGGTCTTCCGCATCGACGGGTTCTTCATCTCCTTCCTGTGCTGCCTCTTCGGGTTCCTCTATACCCTCCATGAAATTTGCGTTTCTTTCGATGATGTCATTTTCTTCTTGAATCCTTTGGATTCCCTCGCGCTCACCGACGTTGTCGTCTTCTGGATCGGGCTTACTTTCCTTACTACGGGAGGAGCCGACTACGTTGGTTTTCACTTCCAGTGTAAGCTGCTCCAGCTTACTAAGGGTGGAGCGAACGTGGTTCTCAAACGCCAGGGTCTCCTGGTCCTTCGTGTCTTGCACGTTTAGGCGCAAATTCTCAAGGGTGTCGTGCAGTGACGTAAGGGTTTGCAAATGATCTGAAATGACTATCTCGATGGTTTCCATGTCCATCAGTAGGGGTTCACCTTGGCGCACTTCTTGGGGCTGGCGCATGAGGGTCTCCAGAACTCTTCTGACATTGTTCTCAAGGCAATGAGCAATGGAGGGAGTGCATACAAGGTACGCAACTGAGACCTACAACATAAAAGCTGCAAACGACAATGCTCAATACGTGATTCGACTAAATCGATCTCAAGAAGACGTTCCTGAAACGGTTTAGAGGAAATGTACAATACGCGAATCTTTCGTTCAAGAGAAGTTACAGCTTCCGTACAAGCATAAGTATCGAAACATTGAGACACAATTTTTTCATACAATAGCTGAGGTTTAGGGAGGGGTGGAATAGCTTTCTGCAACTCTCGTAGCCTACGCTGTGTGTATCGAAGTTCTTCGCTAAGGTCATCGATGTCTACCGTGTTCTGAAAAAAAAGGTACTAAGACTGTCTACGAAAGAGTGTTGGTGGAAAAAGGTGCACCTATGGGATACCTCTATAGGCATGATTGCTTACTGAGATTCTTCGAGGCGCACTTGCGGGTTAGGTGGTGTCCGTGGCAAGGTATCTAAAGGATTTATGTTAATTGGATTGTGGCGCAATAGGGTTATACTACGTATATTTTTTGATTGGCGCATTTTGAGCTTCTTGCTTGTTCCTGAAAATGCATGACATAGTACGAAGTATTATGCGGAAAGGCAAGCAACATGAAACTCGAAGAATGCGCAGCACTAGTTTCAGGATTTGTATTCCTATAGTACTCAAGCACATATACATGAGAAAGGCTGCTAGCGCAACTATGAGAAGTGTCATAATTAGGGTTTTGTACCAAAGTATTATGACGTCAAAAATGTGTGCAATATCTTGTGTTGCGGATATGCCCTTGCTAATTGTCGAAATGCAACGAGCTTCTCCTGCAATTCAAGCTCTGTAACAGCCATCGCCTGCTCATCTGAGTATGCCTCGAGAAATGCCATTACGTTGTGTTCTTGGCATATAGATCGCATACGGTCCTCGTATGATTTGCATCCGAACCCACGATAAATCTCTTTGAGCTCTCTTTCCTTTGGAACAATGCGTATAACTAGATAGTCCAATACATCTTCAAGATCTTGAGAATTATTGTACATCCGCAAGTACGCGAGGTGATCATATGCTGAACCGGGGTTCAGCAAGTATGCCAAAAGCAAACGCGTATCCTTCCAAGACACGGCTACCCGGTCTGCATTTTGCTGCTGGAGATATGTCCTGAACACCTTTGAGCGGAGTACTGATATAGTTCTGTCTTTGAGGTGGGTAGTACATTTTCCAACGGGTCAAATTCTAAACACTTCTGCAAGTGAACTCGTGTATAGTCTTCGATATCGACGATGCCATAGTGCTTTTGTATGACTGGATCAGAGGGCTGTCTGTTAGATTCTTGTGCTTTACGCAACGGATGATTAGCGTGCATCATTTCAAAAGTAACTGGTGGCCAAACGCCGTGTCTTAGAATATAGTTGCGAATAAAATTTTCCTTTACAAAACACGTCACGATGTTCACATGATTAAGGTCAACCTGATATTGTTCAGTGGTCTTCTCAAATAGTTTAATCGATCCTTGCTCCATATCAACATAAGGGTGGCCAAATATCTTACTTAGACACGAAATTTCATGACGTTCTGGAGTAGAAATACCCAGCATCAGTGCGCGCAAGTCAGAGCTGTAGTAGTCAAAATTGGCGTCTGCGGCAAGGTCTTCGCATAACGTGCGCAGGAATCCGCCATTCATGGGTCCTTCAAGTGTTACCAATGTCTCACCTACACACAAAGCTTCAAGTGCTTTGAAGATGACAAATGCTTTGTGTTTGTGTCGTAGCAAGATATTCGTGCCCAATTTGATAAACTCCACGACAACATTATAAAATCCAGTACATAGCGACACTCCGTCCATGGTCTGCGCTGATACCAGCACTGAGAGTATATCACATGCCTTGTTATGCCAAAGCAGAATCATATCTAGTGGCTGCACGTATACACTACCGTCCTTTAATCGTACCAAAGCAAAGGTCCCGAGTGAGCATTAATTCACTGCCTGGAAGTATGAATTGTTTCATTTGTGCTTTCAAAAATCGTGTCTTGGCCTCTTGTGCTGATTCAGCTGGTCCTTGTCTATACACGTAGCATTGCGACTGCTTGACTATAGGCCCAATGTAGTCTATAAATTGATGTAGACGTGTCATCATGTCACTGTCAATTTAGAACACCAGTCATTCATTTGCGGAGTCACTCTGGCATTATGGCCTGGTGGTGTAGCAGCTAAATTCACCGCTAACTGTATGCGTATGTTATCCTTAGCTAGGCAGCTAGCACGTTTCAAAAGACTTGGAACATTCCTGTCGACGAGACTCTGAGGGTATGATGCATTGCTAAAGATGAATTTCAGTATATGACCCCAGAGTGTTTCATCTTGAATCATCTCTACATCTGATCTTCGTGACCAGAACTTAGAGACAACATTTTGCTCCTCTGGGTACAGTGTGTCCTCTTGTAGTCTGTGATCGAATGGTTTCAGAAACGTATTGCGTAGAGCTCTGTCGAGTTTTCTATCGTAAGTGACATCTCGTATCACAGCACGCCCCACAGACCGTTGACCATGTTCGATTAGCAGATCTGATCTGGTATCCAGTCGATAGCGTAAGCGTTCATACGGTGCCATGATCAACACGAAAGACCGTTGTATTGTCAATAATTCTGACAGCAGCAGTTATATATGCGACACACCGCAAATGGTACAGAATAAATACAATCTGGTTATGGTGTATCGCCGGAATGGCATGCAGAGTGATTCTGCAAGGGTCGCTGGCTGCCACCAATCCGCGGTCTCCAAAGTCCTAATGGATTCCGTTGAAGCTCTAAACGCGAACGCAGGCCAGTTCATACATTAGCCTAATGAGCGCGAACGTGCTGACATAAGGCGAGCCTTCTTTCGGCGATATCGCCTGCTCGGTATTGTGGGTGTCATCGACGGCACTCATTGCCGTATTCAGAGGCTAACGGAGGCGGAGGAAGATTATGTGTGTAGGAAGGGGTACTACAGCGTCAATGTTGGAATAGTTGTAGAACACGACATGAAAGTAAGATGGGTCTGTTCAAGGTGGTCCGGTTCCGCCCACGATTCGCGAGTGTTCAAAACCTCCGCGATACGTGGGCAGCTTCATACAAGGCAGCTGAGAGAAGTCCTATTAGAAGACTCTGCCTACGCGTCGGAGACGTTCCTGCTCAAGTCGGTCAACAACCCACGAAGCGAGCAAGGTATAGCATGAGAGTTTCGTCCGTAATCCAATTTCAATCACATCCTTCAGAGCGCCGCTATAACAGAACCGTCTGCTCGGCGCGCACTTGCGTCGAGCAGGCATTTGGAGTCCTGAAGCGGCAGTTTCACATTCTACATGGGGAATGCAGGTTGAGAAGATTGAATAGTACATACCTATATACATATGTATACATGCCGTTTTCATTTTGAATTCACAACTATTCAAACCAAAACCCATAAAATTGAGCTTATGCTCACACAAATCAGGCCCTGCCCCTCTCTCAGGCACCGTTTTTTTCCTCCACTTACTTCTGCAAAGTGAACGGAGCCTTCCATGATAGGCGGGTGTGTATCTAAACAGAAAATGGTATTTATTGAAAGCCATCCGATTCGTGCAGTTTTAGATACTCTCCTGAGAAGGCTGCCCAGATAGTTGTGGCTTGTTCCGTTTTTCGCAACGTAGCGATAAATACGAGGAAGCCGCCCGATTATGACCACTACCTCGGCGAAGACAGGCAGGAGGCGAGATGCCGTCCGAACCGACAGACGAACCTCCTGATCGAAGGGCCTACTCCTTTGTGCAGGAAGTAATCAGGAAGTACTTCTAAGGGATGTAATGTAGTATTAATGTAGTAGTGCCGTTTGTAATATACTGCTTGTAATTCATTTTCGTCTTATGAAATCGAAGTTTGTGGAATGTGAGCATTTGTTGAAGTTCAAGTTTCAGTTGTTAGAGTTTATTATTATCAGAGATCTTCGCATTATTAGAAACTCCATAAACTTTTGAAAACAAAGGCATCAACGGAAAGCCTCAGTGAATACATCTCAACAGACTTCAACAAAATGCAACTAACATGGCAACAATAACAGTACAAACCGAAATGGTCACAGTAGTGGTAATGAACATCCTCAACAATCACAACAGTAAATGTCAAAAGCCGGGAATGAGCACTAGCTGAGCCAGAAGAGGAGCAGTTCACATATGAGCAACAATCTTCAATATGCTAATAACAGTAAAGGAAACAACTAGCGAGGGTGGTAATTCTTCTCTTAGTCCTGCATTCGATCTGAACATCTGCCAGCAAGGTTTACTTTCGAAGGAGCTCATTCTTTAGAATTGGACTGTCGCCCTCAATCTGAGTAGTTCTTCCCTGTACGGGGCTGTTCCTTGCGAATGGCGTTCCTTCTGCAGACTTTTTCCATGCGTAGGTGATTCCCGCTCAAAGATTCCATGCGCACTTTCCGAGGCTGGTAGACAGGGTCGCGTACTGCTCTGCACTACGGGTACACAATAGCAAGTATTCAAACATAAAGGAGAAGTGATAGAAACCCCACCTCTACACAGCTGTCCGCTGCCCCACTTCACTTCCCTTCATACCTCCTGTTCTAGGTTTTTGGCGTATTTCTTCAAATGCACGCTTTCGGGGTGCCGTTAGTCGCGGGAGTCTTCCCGTCCTTCCACCTCCAGTCTTGTTTCTCTCAGTCATCTTCAATACTGTGCTTATTCACAGATCAATGTTCTTAATTGATTCTGCACCTACCTAGACATTCCCATATCGTTTTACAGTTTGATTTCATCCTTGATTTTCTGATCTATTTGCTTCTCTGTGCGCACACCGACTCCCAACGCGTTCACCTCTTAGTGAGCCGCGCTATGAAGTGCTTTTCAGCTTGGAAAAGCAGCCCAAGTTATGAGTTTAGGTCCTTGAAGGACACCTACTGGGACCCCTTCCCTTGACCGATCATAGTGTGATGATATATTCCATAACTTTCCACACAACGGTCCAGAATTAATTCCGTTTCTGCCTCAGTGCAACAAATGGGACCCAGGAAAAGATGGCAGTTGCTAGAGGATAGCAAGAAGAATTTCTTCAACCTGCACTCTGCAACCTGCCCTCATCAAGCTCATCTTTGATAACCAAGTCATCTTGTTCGTATGGGTCCACATTCCACACTTCATCGTAAGATCCATGTAGCTATGATACATTTAGCTATGATGAATGTGTTTTCTTGGTTAGATGTCGTGATGATAATGTCTATTATGTTGCTGTTATGCACTAATACTCGGTGAAAAAGGAAACCACAACACGAGGCGTTGAAACTCCGCAACGTCGAGGAAACATGCAATCTCAAAGGAGGTATTGTGTTAATTACTTCGAGTTCACAGCTCTATTCACGACACTGCATGTAAACCTAGCCTACTTCAAAACCAAAAGAAAGAAAGAGCACGCTAGTTATATAGCATAAACAAAAGGATCTAGAAGTAAGAATTAAAAATAGGAACTACTGGGAGAAAACAAATGAACCAATGAGTCCTTCAAAAAAGGATGATGTTGATAGAAACGACCTACCTCGCGATTATAAGACAAAGTTGACAAATGGACGAGGTGTCAACAATCCAACAGATCTCTGAAAAAAAATTGCTGAAACTCATGTCAAGAGGTAAAAAAGAGTAGTAAAACCTCGCAATAAAAAGATGAGAACTAGGAACCAAACCATGAAACGAGCAGATCAATACCATTATGATGACCTCAACCTAAAAAGATCCATCAGAGATCATTGAAAAAGTACTGACTGAAAGACGTGTAAAAAACACCTAAGCCCGACACGAATCACCTCGCAGCACCACTGAAAGAAGTAGCAAGGAAATTACCCGAAAGATGAAAGCCAATATAAGAACATCAAATCGGAACTAGTTTAGACCACTGAAAACAATGACTACAACATAAAAAAGCACCCCGGTTTGAGTTGGAGGACTCTTCTAGTGGAGAAATGAGAAAGTAGACAATTAGACTTACCTCGCAATACGATGATAACGAGCTATGCAAAGCGGACACTTGATAGTTGTGATTACACCACTTGCGCGCTACTGCGCGCTACCGTATCCTACGCCTAAAAATAAATATGTTTCAAGGCTCTAATCAATTTTTCTTTCCTGTTTGTGATTTGTTTTCATTTTTCTGTTCCCTACTCGTGATTTGTTTTCATTTTTCTCTTCCCTACTCGTGAATTGTTTTCATTTTTCTCTTCCCTACTCATTTTTTTCATTTTCTTTGTTCTGCCTTACTGCGCTCTGTTTAGTTTGCTGTTCGAAGCAGCATTTTCACTTTTTCATTGCAGCTCATAGGTTGGGACGTTGAAGTGGAACAATTATTGTCATAGTTCGCACTCTCCAGGGAATTCCGCTCACATAGGTTCTTTCCTAGTTAGATGCACCAAAAAGTCACTCCCGATCATTTCCAGGTGAGCCTTTCTTCTTACCCCAATCATTTTCTTCTCCAAGTTGTGAATTTGTGAATTTCTTTGTTCAGGTGCTTGCATGTTTAGCGACAGAGTGGCACATGTTGGGAATGTGACATCCCACAGTGCTATTCTCGAACTGAACTCCACGGACCGTAACGAAGTGTCTGTTCCGCCGCGTGCAGGTAAGTGGTCTCCCTGCTTCCCCTAGTCACTTCTATTGCCCGGACTAGTTTATAGTTTTTAGTTTAGTGCGTGTAGCTAGTTCTGTTCAGCTACACGCACTCGTGGACGTATAGTGGCACACACGGAAAACTCAACATCGGAGAGTGGCAGCCTCGAGCTGCACTCCATTCAAGCGGATCGTAACGAAGTGTCTGTTCCGCCACATGCAGGTAGGCCTTTACTGTCCTTCGAGCACTACCTTGTCCACAGGCACTTATCTGAATGTGTTCTTTCAGATGCACGTACTCCTGGCGACGTAGTGGCACATACAGAAAACTCAACATCCGCGATTGCTGGTACCCCCCACCCCTGAAAAAGAGAATCCGAGGTTACCGGCTCCCCCCCCCCCTCCCAATCTGAAGAAGAAAGCAAGAAGGTGATAACTTTTCGAAGATTGGTTCTTCCTTAATCTTTTTTTCACTTCTAGGTAGCGTATGTTTTTGATTAAACCACGAATTTATTTGTTTTCGTTTATTATTGTTGTTCACCTCCAGATGCTTTTGTCACGTCACAGAAACCATACTGTTTTTTTCCTTTATCATCTGCTTTCAAGCGCTACTTCGCCTGTATTGAAGTTCTAGACAAAGTGGGCGTTTGAAATCATTATTTATTTATTTGTTATCATCTTTGTTTATTCGATTTTCAGATAATGTTCATGAAGTCAGTGGCTGTTGGCAACACGCTTGTGATGTTTTCCTTCATGGCGGACAGGTGCTTGCCCAGTGAAAAACATATAGGTAAATCACAACGTTGAGGGTAAATTGTTTCCTAGTCTAGTTTCTTATTAGGCATATCAAATGTCGATGCTTCTAAGATGTCGACTCTGATTCAATGTTTCTGTTCTTTATATGCAATTCGATTCTTGACCTATGTTGGATGTCGAGCTGAGATGTTTTCGATACCCTGCCAAGTCTGTTGTTGCATTTCCGTGCTTCAGTGCTGTGCTGTTTCATCGACAGTGAACAAATAAAGGGTTATCTTCATTCATGTTAGAGAGAACACTCAAGTAATAGACATACACGCAGAACATCTTGGTGGGTTAGTTGGTAGCGTTGGAAGCACTAAATTCCGGCTGCTGTCGTCATTTATGAAGGTTTATGTTGAAACTTAGACTGAAAACTTGTTCCCACGGGCAGTCAAAGCTGTTGAACACAACAGCACATCAAGTCGACCTGAACTCTCGAATCTTGATTATAACTCCACTGAAAATTTTTATACGGGGGTTGTTCAACATCCATTGTAAGAAAATGACTTCCATTTTCGGTTGTGACATCAGTGGAGGGCATAACGATCTGAGCTGAGCTAAGGTTGGACCTAGGAGGACCATCCTCTTCTAAATTTTAAGTATTAACTAACTATGCAGTTCCACAGCACTTGGTGATCTGGAGTATCTTACTGGATCTTACAGATCAGGGCTTCCGCGCGTAGCCCTGATTTGTCCAGGCCCTGATTTGTCCAGGAGAGCTGTTGTTCATCATCAAATTAAGGTGTCGGGTCTTCCCAAGATATCTGCAATAAAAGGATGAAGATGGCGAATCTGCACAGGTAACCGAACGAAGCGCATGGTGCCCCGCTGAACGATGCGACGATCGTAACGGTGATATACATATCGAATGTACGTCGTGCACCTGAACGGAACTATATAAACCAGTCCGGGCAATAGAAGTGACTAGGGGAAGCAGGGAGACCACTTACCTGCACGTGGCGGAACAGACACTTCGTTACGGTCCGGTTCGGTGGAGTTCATTTCGAGAATAGCACTGTGGGATGTCACATTCCCAACATGTGCCACTCCGTCGCTAAACATACGAGCACCTGAACAAAGAAATTCACAAATTCACAACTTGGAGAAGAAAATGATTGGGGTAAGAAGAAAGGCTCACCTGCAAATGATGGGAGTGACTTTTCGGTGCATCCAACTAGGACAGAACCTATGTGAGCGGAATTCCCTGGAGAGTGCGAACTCATAATGAGAACAATTGTTCCACTTCAACGTCCCAACCTACGAGTTGCAATGAAAAAGTGAAAATGCTGCTCCCAACAGCAAACTAAACAGAGCGCAATGAGGCAGAACAAAGAAAAATGAGAAAATCACGAATAGGAACGAGAAAATGAAAAAAAATCACGAATAGGGAAGAGAAAAATGAAAACAAATCACGAACAGGAAAGAAATGATTGATTAGAGCCCTGGAAAATATTTATTTTTAGGCGTGGGATACGGTAGCGCGCAGTAGCGCGCAAGTGGTGTAATCACAACTATCAGAGGGGCCAGTGTCCGCTTTGCATAGCTCGATGATAACGGGTCATCAAGCAAGAATCCACGAGATCCAACCCAATATGAAACCACAAATCAAGTTTGACTCGATAGACCGCTGGAACCGACCACCCCCCCCCCCCTCTAAATAGGGTCTCGATACGATTGTCCGGTGCTACCGAAATAGCAGCGGACAAAAACTACCGAAAAATGGAAATGAGCCATAATATGTCATAAATAGATTAAGAAAAGTAATCACTTCAATTTATGAAACAGAAGTTTTGTGCGTCGGTTGTCGGTCTGTATGTTTGTATGTATATGAGTATTTATGTGTAATTGTTCGTCCGCAAAATGCTTCACGGGATTCAGCATGTAACTGAAAGGAGAAAACGACCTTTCGCCAATCTAAGAACCTTTTGGTGCGGACGTATCAATTCAGTGTTTTGACTGCGATAACCCTACTATTTAAGACAGCCACTCAGTGCACTCCGAGCCATTTCACGGGCTGCTCGCGTAGCAACTGGACGTGAGCACGTGCAGTGGGGCAGGGTAGGTAAGACAGGGGCGAGGGGGCACGGCGAAGAAAGTAGAGCGAGAAGGAGGGGGGGGGAAGAAGGGTTGAGGCGGGAGGAGTGAGGGCACTGGGCTGTTTGCATGAGAGCTGGACGTGAAAGCACTGGAACTGCACTGGAACATGGTAGGGGAGGGCAGGGGCGAGGGGGTGAGGAAGGGGTGGGGCGAGGGAAGTGAGGTTAGTGGGAAGTACGATGGGAAGGGGGTGGAGTGTGTTTCAACAGGAGAACACCACAACGGTGGAATCAAGTGAAATCGACATATAGAAGAAAGGAAGGATCAATCGCTCACAGTGCTGCGATTCAGTTCATGTTGCGGTATCAGTTTAAGGAACATTTGGAGTGTGATAAGGCCCTGCACAATATAAGACAACTATATAGTGTAGTTCGTTGAGGACGGTTTTGCGTGCCAGTGCGGCTGCGTTTGGCGCGGTGTCAACGCGTTCTCCACCAGTTGTTGAAGCGGGCAAGTGGCAATACTGTATCATAGCGTTCGTATTATTCGTTTTTACCACTTGTTGTCGCATGCGCGTTTCAACAAGAAGGCAGAGGACGGCATTGACGCTGTGCACACTCATACTGGCTAACACGCCCAACCGTCCGCAACGAACTATAGTGTAAGACAACCATTCGATGTATTACGAACCACTGCACGAGCTGCTCGTGTGATAGCCTGTCGTGGGGGTTGGTAGGGTTTGTGGGGGTACGACAAGGAACCGTAAAGGGCTCGTTAACATGAGCACACCGTCACCCCAATGAGCGCGATAAGTTGAAGAAATGAGAGACCCACCCGCCAGCAGAGTTTCGAGCTTTTTCATGTCGTGTTGACGATTCGAGCTAATATTTCGATTGCGAAATCACCATTTCACTTTCAACTTTCAGTTACTGATGAGAAAGAATAAACCTGGACTATAAGAAATGTACAACTGACACGCAGCCCAAATATGAGCATCTGCAATTTTTATGCATAATCGAATGGATTGCATGAATATAGAAATGGTTACCATGCCCCCTTGCAGACAGTCCTTGGTGTCGCCTAACTTAGCTGCTTTCGACTTGACGAATACATAACAATCCAAGAGATAACAATTCTCTTTCAATAACTTTAGAGGACAATCATAACAGTTGGAGAAATCTTATAAGCACGACTGAAGAAATCGCTGCCATACATAAATAAAACTTAAATGAATTGAAATCTTAGAAGGTTCAAAAGGTTAAAGCTCGCAAGGTAATCGCTTTCAGAGGTGTGCAACTCCTAAACCCTAATATTGCACCGTTTCGCGTAAAAACGTTTCGTGAGGTGGGTTTCGAGCGCAACGAGCGCGAGATGCTCATCTTTTGGGACGGAAGCTGTCCAAAGTTGCCGAGAACTGGTCACAAATAATTTGCCCAGACCGTGGCATATAGGCGAGCACGGATGGTTTTTGCAATGTTGATACATTTCTGGATTCTTTCCCCATCTGGTTGAAGGAGAGAAAGATTGTGAATGTTTCTGGATAATATCGCTGATTTATGTTCTTTTCAAGTAAAGCATGCAAACAAGCAGTGAAAGAGGTTTCTGCTACTTAGCGCACATAAACACTTACACACCTCATCCCTCAGCCTGAGTAGGCGTGGCATCAGAACGTGACATAGAATCCGCCGCTCGCGGGATATTTCAGTTTGAAACAACCGTCATCTTGTTCTGTGCTGGACAGAGAGACGATAACGCTGTGTCAAAATTACAACATGTCCGAAAGCACACCCACTGCCACGATGAAGTACGCTCACTACGCCTCAAAAACTTCGATTGTATTAGGGATAACCATTAATCAAGTGTGATGTTGATGAGAGAGATCAGGACCATCAAAAGTACTAAAGATCATATTGTACACGAATTAATTGAATTACACCTAGGCCACGAGAGCAAATGGGATTTTACCGTGAATCCTTATGAATTTGAAATCAATAATCTTTATGGCGCTTTCTTTGGAATTTGAGTTGAATACTTCGCGGGAAATTTCATGCGCACCTCTTGCCCATTCGAGTTGCTATATTTCGAGTAGGGTGCGGGCGCATTTCAGTTTTATCCTTGGGTTTAGTGTGTTATCTCCAGCTCTGAGCTATCAAAAACTTAATTTTCTTTACATCACTGTAATATAGGTTGGGAAGAAAAGTCCTGTCACTATTGTTGATTTTTTCTTTTTTATTTTCTAACTCAACATGAAATAAAAACTAATCAATAATATAATCGCCATTGTTAGCCACTACAGTGCTCCACCTGATGGGCAACTCAGCTATCCCCTTCTCCCAGAACTGAAGAGGCTGCGATTCGAAGAAGTAGGCAACTTCTCGATTGATGCCATCAAAATCGCGGAAGGTTTTCTTACCTAGGAAAGCCTTGAGGGAGCGGAACAACTAGTAGTCGGAGGGGGCTGGGTCTGGAGAATATGGTGGATGGGGACGGTCTCCCAGCCTAGCTCCTCAATTTGGGTCTCTTTAGCCACATGTGGTCTGGCGTTATCATGGAGGAGGTGCAGCGAAGCTCCTCTCGGGCGTTTTGCTCACTTGCGCGGTTTCTGGAGTTGGGCGGCGTAAACGGTAGCGGTAACCGTATGCCCTTGCGGAAGCAGCTCGTGTTGCAGCATGCCCTTCGAATCCCAGAAGCAGCAGAGGAGGACCTTGGAGTGCAGGTTTGATCTGGGTTGCGTAGGCAGGTTTCTCCTCGAGGGAGCTACATGGCACGACGTAGGTTTGAATCATAGAGGACCCAGCTTTCATCTCCTGTCACAAAATCTTCCAGAAACTCCTTCCGGTTACGGTGTAAGAGGAGGGATCGACAGATACTCACCCTGGCATACCGCGTACCATCTGTTAGAGCATGAGGTATCTATCGCGTGAAAACTTTTATGTAGCCAAGGGCCTGAAGGCGGCTTAGAGCTGTTGTTGGCTACACCAAAGCCTTGTCGCAATACTGCGCGTGGTAGCCTCTGGATCCTCTCTGACAGGTTCAAGAACGACGGCATCTTCTACACCGCGAGGGCGTCCCAAACGAGGTTTGTCTTCGAAGATCGTCTCTCCTTTCGCGAAGCTAGCGAACCAACGGTGGACAGTCCTGACGGTGCTGGTGTCCTTCCACAATGCGCAGTTGATGTTACGGGTCGC